GAACGATTTCGCGACCGCGATTCCTTCTCTCGAACTGTTCGAACCGAACGTTAAACGTTTACCTTGTCGTTGGAAACGCGATCGATGCATACATACACGCGTGCATACGTATACGCGTATTTAGACGTTCCCTGTTACTTCGATTCGATCGCCTTGTATAAATGCTAACTGGTACGTAATAACGCAAAGGCATCGTGGAGGAAAATCAAGAGCGGTGATTCATGGAAGGAGAGAAAGCACGAGCGAAATTGAAACATTGTATGGTAATTGCTCGCGTTTATTTCTCGTTCCTACTCGTCGGACAACCGTTCAAATATTTTTGAGTATAACCATCGATCGGTCTCGAAACGATCGAGATCAACCGTCGCGTTTCTGCACGGTTCTTTCTTGCACCCGAGCACGCGTCGTCGATCGGATTTGATCGATACAATTGTTGTAGTTTGAAATGGAAACCGTGTTATTCGAGTCATCGTTATTATCGTTTAAACGCGTATTCCCGTGTGCTCGCACGCGGCCTATGTCTATATCTAAATACGCGGTCTCGAACAACGAGTCCGCACGGTTCAAACCATAAATGTATATTTATGTAACGTTCGAACGGCAATCGTTTCTTTGTAGAAAAAATTGATCGTCGTCTCGTCGAGCGAAGCAACGCGACGCGTATCGCATCGTACGTAACAGCGATACGAATTCCTGGGTTACCTAATCGCGCACGCCTAACGGCGAACGAAACCGTTCGCCCCGATGCTTCGGCAGCGGGCTCGGTATCCGGCGAAATTGAATGAAAAATCATCGCGAATCATCGTCGCCGAGGCAAAATGTCGAAGACATCCTTGATTTCGCCACGAACGATCGTTTCTCGCGAGTCGAATTCCTCGCGTAAAGGTCAACCGGTCAAGTACACCGATGGAACGTCGTCGCACCGAATCATCGCGCGGCGAATTTTCTCGCACCGCGCGTAACGAACGATAACTTTCGCTCGATGACTATTTTGAAATTGCGCGCGTAGCGGCCGACTCTTTATTTCGCGGGCCCGTAAAACGAAGAATTTTGCAAAATAACATTTTATTCGTCGACGAATTATTCGATCGATCGATCGATCGATCGATCGATCGTCTGTATAAAAAGTTATTCGAACGATGCCCGCGCAAAGCTGGCACGATGGCGAACCAATTTGTCCGTCGATCGCGGCGATTTTCGCGACGGACGTCGATCGGGTCGTAAATCGAGCGATCTTCCTTGTCGGGGCAAGGTCTTTGGCAAGGTAAGGAGATCGTTGGGAATCGCGATCACCCTATAGGCGTTACGGTTCGTTCGCGGTCCGATGATCGGCGAGTCGAGCGCGACGACGAGCGGCAACACCTCCAAATTGCTTTACGTTCGAGTGGATTCGAATTATAGCAAACGCGAAACGCAACGTATCGCCGACCGCGTCTCCGACGGATGGATACACGCGTACATCGAACGCGCGTCCCATTCGTAATTATTCGATCGCGTAGCTTATTTATTATAATTTCAATTTCGTTTTCGTCCATTTCGAAGTCGGTTTATTATGAAATATTTCAAAATCAACTTGTATGGAAAAATTAATATCGTGCTCGTTTTATAGACGTTATATTTTAGCAAGAACCTAACGGACTCCGTGTCCGTATCGTTGTCACATTTTCGGATGTTCGAATTTAACGGTCGATCGATTATCGGATTCCATTTTTATTTCTCGCATCGCCCGACGCTGCTTGCGCGTAATACGCGCGCGCGTTCGTATACGTATTACGATGAACCGAATGAAATAATCGTAAGCAGAAACCGCGCAACGATAGCGAATGCGTTTTATCACGGAAGCGTATAAGCCTACGAACTATTTTCTATATCCATTTTCATAACAACCCGGTAAGAGGGTGTTACGCGTTTCATTCGCCTTTGCGGTTCGACGCGCGAGTTATCTTTCCGGGCTCTGGTGGTTAGATATATATATATATATATATATATATATNCGCGTAATACGCGCGCGCGTTCGTATACGTATTACGATGAACCGAATGAAATAATCGTAAGCAGAAACCGCGCAACGATAGCGAATGCGTTTTATCACGGAAGCGTATAAGCCTACGAACTATTTTCTATATCCATTTTCATAACAACCCGGTAAGAGGGTGTTACGCGTTTCATTCGCCTTTGCGGTTCGACGCGCGAGTTATCTTTCCGGGCTCTGGTGGTTAGATATATATATATATATATATATATATATATATATATATATATATATATATATATATATATATATATACACACATAGAGAGAGAAAGAGAGACCGAGACAGAGAGAGGAGGGACGACAGGTTAAGATTTTTCTTCGAAACGCTTTCAGCTATTTTGTCGGACTCCTTCGCGTTTGCGAGGCTCGTTAATATTAGTATTATCGTTGCAAACAGGTTGCATTTACTTACATAATCTACGTAATCGATCGATGCCGAACGCGCATACGGACACACGGATTCGATTCGATCGAAACGAAAGTATGCGCGTATCGGTATACGCGTGCTCCAATAATACGCAACCATCCTTCTACTTACGCACGGGTCGGAAAAAATGTATCGACGCGCCGTCTCGATAAAAATTGAGCCGGTTCTATGCCACGCTAGGAAACAGTTTCTAAAATTACAACGACGAATTTTGTAGAGCACGATATATCTATTCGATTTTGATCGTCGTATTTAGTTTCTATAAATTCAAGTATAAATCGAAAAATATCGTAAACTCGTATATTTTATTGGAAAATATCTGTTAACGGAATCGCAGCGTCGACGTAAAAAGTTGACTCGAAACGGAAAAATAAATAATTCGGAAGTTAAAACCGTTCGAATCGCGACGGTCCAAGGAAAGACGAATTCGAGTTACAAAGAAATAAAGCATTTCGCGTTACGGTACCGTCGCGGAGCGCCGCCGTAATCGTACACGGCCGATCGCGACCAACTGTTGGAAACGCAAGGATTCGGACGCTTTCGTGAACCAGCGTGATTCGATTTCGCGAGCGTTTCGAGTCCGATTCAACCGCTGGAATGCCTGCGAACGGTTCGTGACACCGGCTGCTAATAATTAACGGGCAAATTGGCTCCGCAACAGGCGACGAGGATAACGCGCGGAACGCGCTAACCAGTCTTGCGCTCCCATTGGCAAGTATTCCGCGATCCACGGCCGTGACGAGTAGATTAATTAATTAGGTATTCCAATCTGTCCTTATTCTTTTTCCTCGGCTCGTAACGAGACTCGAATCGTTGACTCCGCTCTAGAAATTCGACGATCGTTCCCGGTCGAAACGCTTCCGGAATCTCGGGCGCGCGTATTACATGTATTAATCCCGCTGAGGCGATTACGCGTTCGCGTTTTTCGGAGCATCGACCGTTTCACGGGGTGCCGCGAGAGAACCTGTTGCGCTTTATCTACCAAGGAAACGCAGAAACCGATAGTTGGCTCGTTGGCGGCGTCTCGCGCGACTCCTGCACCAGAATGCACGATTCCGGACCAGAATGTTTCGTCGTCGCGAGCGCTTACCTAAATCGAACGCTTGCATAATTGTTGCAAGAAATTAGCGTCGCGTTGTAGAATTTCACGCGCTATTTTAATCCGGAAACCAATGGGGAGGCGAGGCGACGCGAGGATGAATCATTTTCACGGATGCACGCGAGCGTGATTCTACGCCAGAAATACCGATACGGGACAAGTTTAATCGATCCGCGGCTCTCTTACTTGTAATTTTCAAACATTTACATTTGTTGCCGTTTCGAGAGTAACCGTAGCCAATTAGGAAAACGCGCGTTGCGCCGCATTTCTCGCTGAAACTGTTCCGTTCGTAACGCCAAGACCCACGCAGCAAATCGTCGTAAAAAGCCGGTTAGTCGACGATCGACTTCGGACCCGAGCTTCCTCGAATGTTTCGAAACCGAAGAGACGAAGGCGCGCGCACCGGAACTGCCGGTCTCTCGAGTTTTTCACGTCGAGGATAATTCGAAGATTATCTGGAAAACGTAGAGATCGTAATCGTTGCGCGAAATAAACGTTTTCCAAACAAATTGTACCGAACGTAAGTTTTTTCGATTCCTCGATTTTTCGTTCGTCGCGGACGCGCGATATTTGCGCTTTGCGAGGGAAAAGTCGTCCAAAACCGATGCGGTTCTAACGTTTCTTCGCGTTCCGATAACGTCTGGATCGAACGAAAACTCCATGGGCGGAATTCGTGCGGTGCTCTTCGTTTACCGTCGATAGAAGAAAGAAAGAAAGAAAGAAAGAAAGAAAGAAAGAAAGAAAGAAAGCAAGAAAGAAAGCAAGAAAGAAAGCAAGAAAGAAAGCAAGAAAGAAAGCAGGAAAGAAAGGAGGCGAGGACGCGCGTTTACTCCGGCCATTGACTCGTAACGGGCTCGGTCTAAGGACCCTCCTGGTTTGTCGCGAATCGTTTAGGCTTCGCGACTTCGAACCGTTCGTACGTCACGGTTCTCGGCGATCGATGCGGCCCAGGCATACGTTTCATTTCATTTTTATTCCGTGAAATCGTCGCGACCGATCGACCGAAAAATCGGCCGATGAAAAGTTAAACGGCGCGGCGGTCTCGCGGTAGGAAAGCGGTCTCTCCGGACTTTCGTCGCGGTGTCGCCGCGCATCGGATCGCCGCACGCGAAACCGCCGATTCGGATGGGAAAGTCGCAAATTGAAAACGTAGAAAACGTTTGCGATCGATCGGGCCGATTGCACCGAACTATCGGACGCGCGTGAGAAAGCAAGCGCGCCCGCGCGCTGTCGTCGAGATACGCGCGGCAATCCTTGCAATTTCAATCGATCGCGGATTCGATCGATACGGAAGAAATAAAACGCAAGCCCGGTGTAATGTCCGGTGTATCGCGATCGATATCGATACCGATACGATCGGGTCGTCGACGCGCGGACGTCCGACGGTATCGTAAAACAAATAAAACGTAACGGACGCGTGTAAACGATCGAACGTTCCAGGTGTCGTTCGGATGGAGGTGCTGACGTTGCTGGCGGGCGCGATGATCGCCGCCGTGGCAGCGACCTCGAGCTGCCCTTGGGCGCAACAGGTGCCCGACCTCGAGAGCTCCTGCATCTGCGACTACAACCTGGCCAAGGAGTTGTCGGTGCAGTGCGACATCGTCGACTACGAACAGCTGGTGTCCGCCATGCGACGATACGCCGCGAAAAGTACCGTCGACTTGTTCTACGTGAACAACAGCACCGTCGGAACTCTGAAGAACGGCTCGTTCGCGGCGTTCAAAGTGAACAACGTGCAGCTATCCGGCTGCGAGATCAAGACCATCGAGCCGAACGCGTTCGAGGGCCAAGAGAATTCCTTGAAGAGCCTGAACCTGAAGGACAACGAGATATCGGAGGTTCCCAGCGATATGCTGAAAACCCTGCGGAATCTGACGGCGCTGGACCTTTCGATGAACAAGATCGCGAGGGTGAACGACGACGCGTTCGCGGGCCTGAAATTGCTCACGCTGAAATTGAGCGACAACGAGGTCGCGCTCGCGCCTGCCGCGTTTCGCACCTTGGAGAGATCGTTGAAGAATCTGAATCTGAAGGGCACCAGGCAGAAGAAAGTACCGGAAGCGCTCAGAGGCTTGAAGACCCTGGCCTTCCTCGATCTGTCGCAGAACAGCATTCGGGAGCTTCCCGGATCCGCGGGGATCGAGGCTTTCGAAGGGCTGGAATCTCTGACCGGACTGAACCTCGAGAGAAACCTGATCCAGAACATCGGCTCGGACGCGTTTTTCGGAATCAGGAATACGCTGAGCTCGCTGAGCTTGTTGAACAATCTTATTCCAGACTTTCCCACCGCCGCTATAAACAGCATTCAAGATCTTCGGGTACGTTAGAAAAATGTGTGTCTTCGATCGCTCGACGTCGACGAATCGGTCTGCGCGCGCGCGGGGGGCGGGGGGGAGGAGGCAAAAGAATATTTTTCTAGGACGTATTTCAACGTCGTCGAAATTCCCGACATCGAGATACAAAAGCGATCCTTTCGACAATTATCTTCCAATTGCTGCACCCCGCGTGCAGCGTTTCCGTTCGTCGTTATCTTTCTTCGTTGCTTTCAGGTACTAGACATCGGATTCAATCTGATAACGACATTGCCGGTAAACGCTTTCCAAAAGAACCCGTCGATAACGCTTCTGGCGATCGATGGTAATCCGCTGTCGACCGTCCCCGAAGAAGCTCTGGCCCGATTAAACAGGACTCTTCGAGGTCTCAGTTTGGGAGGTCGTTTTCTGGTTTGCGACTGCAAGCTGCGCTGGATCGTCGACTGGATAAAAACCAGAGATTTGCAGGTTACCAGTCGAGAACGGAAACCTCAGTTCTGCGGAAGCCCGCAAAAGCTGCAGGACAAGAGCTTCTATAACATCGATCCGGACGGTAATACGGTTGCTTCGACACACGGTCCTTATCCTTAATTTGTAATTAATTCGTAATCCGAACCAATTGTAAGATCGACGCTCGAATGGCTCGGGTCCGTTTCGATTGAAACTATAAATATTCTTATTCGATCGTCCAGAGTTGCC